ATCGGTATTACTTCGTTCCCGGTTACGTATTGCTGTTTGTTTTAAATATAATTTATGTATGATATATTGTATGTACAAGTATATGAGTAAAAATATTAAATTTTAAAATTGCCATAGTTATTTTTATTTGCCATGTCTATTATTTATGAAGTGTTGCATGAAAATTTCGCTAATACTTGGTCGCTACACAAAGGTTAGGAACCGCTGATCTTAGGATATGTTATTATATATTACGTTATTTTTATATTAAAGTCGGATTTTGTAGCCAAAATAAATCCTTAAAAAGCATTTTAATAGCCAAAAGCATTTATTGCAATTTAATTCTAAACAATATTATACAATTACATAAATTAAATATTAAGAATAGGACCATATATTTAAGGTACGGTTTCCCTTGCGCGATCGCGAACGCGAACGCGATCTAGATCGCGTGCCTTGATCGCGCGGCTGCTGATACAATGTAAATTAAATATAGTTGGTTTTCCTTGCGCGATCGCGATCGGCGATTTAAATTTGTTCGCGGCGCGAACGCGATTTGACTGGTCTTCGAGCAGTCAAATCGCGTTCGTGTCGCGATCGACTTATTGTTTTGATAATAATTATTAGTAATTATTGATGAAATCATGCAATGTTCTCATTTCTGTTTGAACACTCGTTGACAACGGTTATTCAAACATGAGTTCTGCAATGGTCAAGTTTACTAAGGAGCAAGACGAGATATTGGTTAAATGTGTAGCCAAACATCCTCCAATTTATAATCCCGAAAATAGGGATTATAAAGATTTAAATATACGAGATGCAATTTGGAGGGATATAAGTAGCAACGTTGGGCGAAATGGTAAGCAAAATATTATAAATGTTGATTGTAAAAAATATTATATTTGTAGGAATAAAAATGTATTAATGGTATAAATAATACATTGAGATTATAGTATATTTATTTTGAATACCATTATTATTATTATTATTACGAGTAGAACAAAACGTGTACCCGAACAGAGCGTTTAAGTTGAAAATAAATGATTATTTTCAAATAAAAACCTAGACACTCAATCTATTTATGAATGAGTATTTTAGAAGTGATGAATGCACTGTGTAAACTGTTTATATATACTTAAAGCTAAAAATAAATTATAATTTCTAAACATTTATTTCTATTGTGTATTTAGTATCAAAACTAATTTTAATCTCCGTGATATACATTTTGTATTATGAATTAATTAATAAAAACCCAAATAATTGTAAAATGTTAGAATTTTTGTGTGAGACCGTGATTTATTTTAAATATACGTCATATAAACCTATACTTAGCAGCAGTTAACATTTATTATTTATTGACTTTAAAAAACAAATTACAAGTTTAAGTATTGGTAGATGATACTCTGGAAATTTGGTGATTTTGCCACGAAACTGTTCCTTCTTGAATAAAAAATTGTTTAAATTTTTCCCTCACATCAAAACCATCTGCATTCGCAAAGCCGCCTCTACTACATAAAGTGCCCATCTCAGTAGTTTGTCCTTCATCATATTCATAAAATATTTTATTACCTTTTTCCAAAAAGCATCTCTCAACATATTGTGCAAACAACATGCGACAATTACTAAATCGTCACATACTTCTAAATCAGTTCCTATTGCAGTATGAAATATTCTAAAAACTTGTGATAATAAGCCAAATGCATTTTCCGTCACTCTACAACAACGACTTAACCTGTAATTAAAAATAGTTTTTGCTCTGTCTTGTCTAGCTGAAGATTTAGAATATGGTTTCATGATGTGTCTGTGAAGTCTGAATGCTCCATCGCCTACAACTACAAATGGTGTAGAATTATTAGTGTCTGGTAGTTTTTCGTCGTCTGGAAAATTAAAATCTCCAGAATAAATTTACTGTCCCATTTTTGATTTTCCAAATATGCCACTATCTCCTTCTTTGCCATAGGATCCAACATCAATGATTAAAAATTTACAATTCGCATCTACTAGTGCTAATAAGACGATAGAAAAATGTTCTTTGTAGTTAAAATATAATGTTCCGGTATTTTTTGGGCACTTCATTCGAATATGTTTACCATTGATCGCGCCAATACAATTTGGGAAATTCCATCTTGTCCAAAACTCTTGAGCTTTATCTTTCATATTTAATTTACTCGGATTAGGTATAAAAAGTGGAAACAGATGCTTTTTCATAGATTTTAAGGTATTTTGTATTATAATACTAATATAGCTGTGTGATATACGAAAAGCAAAAGATAAAGAACGGTACGTTTCTCCAGAAGCTAAAAATCTTAAAAAAAAAAAACTATATACGTGTCATTATTATTCAATAAATAAATATAGGTATTTCATTTTTAGATTCTGAGCGGAGCGATGAATGCATTGATTTTACAATGTTGTGTTTTTTTTTGTATTTTTTTTTTTTTTTTTTGTATCTACACAGAGAACGTGTCGAAATTAAATATCGTTAGTCACAATTTTTTTTTTTATAAGCATTTATAGTTCAAGTTTTTACGAAATCTGTCGAAAACGCGAAAATTTGCAAGTAGTAATTTTGAAGTTGAAAAATCAAAATTTTTTTGTGTTCATAACTAAGGATTAAAAATACAGCACTAAGTTTTCCATAAGTTTTCCTTCAAGTAGCTATAGAGAAAACTCGAATTATCATTATAAGAAAAATTTTAAGTGCGTTTGAATTTTAAATTTTTACGAAATAGCGTAACGATAACGATTTATCCTCAAACGATTTTAAATATTTGTTATTAGGTATTCAAAAAGTATAAGTCGTAGATACTTGAAAATTTTATCAGTTATTTAGAATGGCGTTTTTTTTTTACATAATTTAATTTTCAAAATATTTCAACTTTTTTCGAGCTATTTATAGACGACTGAAATTTTCAATTTTTCTGAAAATTGTTTTTTTAAGTATTGATAAAATTTTTTTGGCCAACAAATTTACAAATTTAAGTTTCATTACCTAGTTAGTTTGTTACAAGTAGGTACCTTATCATTTTTTTAAAATTATCTTTTTTATTATTAAACAGTTTTTTAATAACTCTTGTTTTAAATCGGTTATGAATATTTATTTATACTAGATGAAGACTGCAAGAGAAGATATAAAAATATTAAAGATGCCTATTTAAAAAATAAACGGGCAAGAAAAATGAACACTGGAGCAAGTGCCTCTTCAAAACCTTCTAAATGGCATTTAGCACGATTTTTAAATTTTTTGGATACAGTACCACAAGAAAGAAAGTAAGTACCATATTGCATATCATAGAGTGATTGATTTCAAGTGCAACACTAATTATTTCGCAAGTTATTGACTTATTTCAAATTTGTTTTTTGTTTTTTAATTTTTTGATGCATATATATATTTTAGATTCTAAACGAAGTGATGAATGTATTTTTAATTGCAGTTTAAATCAATCACCCTTTATTGATATGACTAGAGTACGGATGTTGTAGTAGTAAAACAATAATTGTAAAATTGATTACAGTATTGCACTACATTTTTTATGAATTTCTAACTCAAAATAATTTGCAAATTTTCATGATATTTACGTATTTTGTCATAATTCAAACTTAAAATGCTTATAAAAAAAAAAAATTGTGACCATTTAGAAAAATTCAAAAAATCCATAAAATTCCACCTAAGAGTTTTAGATTTTAATTTGTATTTACATACAACATATTTAAAACTTACTTAGTAATAAATTGAAACAGTAGAAAATACAAAAAAATGCAAACGCATATGCAACAACATCTTTGCCCTAGTGATGAATATAATAACAAATTATTATTATTTATTATTTATTTTAACAGCACTATATCAAATTTATATGACACTGATAATAATGAAGATTCTGGCTCAGACGAAGAGGAAATAAATATCACACAATATGATATACTGCAGTCAACACCAGTAAGACAATGTCCTCAATCTCCATCGATTTCAAGACCACAAAAATTGACTAATAAAAGAAAAAATTTAAAAGTCACTGATTTATTAGAAAAAAGATCAAGAGCAAGAACAGAGCTTATGACACAGCTGATTGCTAAAAAAAATACAGATGAGTACGATGATGTTGATCATTTTTTCAAAAGTTAAGCTCTATCTGTCAAAAAGTTGCCACCACAGTTAATTTCACAGGCGGCAAAATTGAAAATGTTGACAATTGTGACTGACTTGGAACTTCAAGCTGCAGATAATCGTACACATAACGTCCACAGAGTATCATTACAGACAAATAATTCTACTAGTAGTTCCCCATATTCTAACAACTTTACTCAATATAGTTATAGTCCACCTTCACTAGATTCACCATCATATTCAAGTATTTCAAGTATTCAACAACAGTTTGGACCAACAAATACAACTACATTTACGCCTTTCCAGTCAGTTCAAAATTTGAATAATGAATGGAACACAAATTCTCAGTAATTTAACAATATAATTTAAAATATTATCTTACAAGGTTTTTTGATTTTTTTTTTTTTAAATTTAATTTTTATAAGTCAATGAAATATATGATAAAATACCTTTTATTTGCACTAATAGAAAATTGATTTATTTTTAACTTTGATACAAATTGTATATTAAAATAAAACAACACTATTCCATAAATAAATCTGAGTTGGTTCTTATTTCATTTTACTTTATCTGTACCTAATTTAAAAATTGTACTTACCTCAATGTAACCGCCAATTTTTCTTCTGGTGATATGGGTTTCCTTATAAAAAATGTTGGATTTAATGTTAAATCGTCTGTTACTAGATTCAAAATAAAATCGAACTGATTACGATTTAATCTAAAAAATTCCCTAAACTTAATTTCATTATTTTTCAGATGGCCGTTGATAAGTATTTCATGATAACCTTCGGTACTTCTCTTTGTAAATAATGGATCATGCTGCTTTCTTTTTTCTTCCGACAAATGTAAGAGCAAGATCTAATCATCTTCTTCCTCTTCTTGCAAAAGAATTTTTAAGATTTCTTTATCAACTTTATCCATAATAATAATTTTTTAAAACGAACAGTACTCGTGCACCGTGAACTTAGCATTTCAAAATATCGAGTACGACTGACGGATTACTGTTAAAATATAAATTATAAATCTTTCGGTCGCAATGTAGAATCGTCTAGACGTCTAGAGCAAACCAACATGATGCGAACGCGAACTACGAATTAGATCGCGTTCGTAGTTCGCGTTCGCTGATCGCGTTCGCGATCGCGCAAGGGAAACCGTACCTTTAGTTAAGTTACATTCATTAAAACTCATTCTATTGGGTGCTAATAAATTTTTATACATAAAAAAGAACCTTTACACGTCAACCAATGTAATCGGTGCATATTTCATATAAACTAATTAATTTGAATAGAATCCGGTGAATTGGTCGCGAATAATTGATCGCCGGTGAATTGGTCGCCGGTGAATTAATCGCGGGCGAATTTATCGCGAATACAATTGGACGCCAAGATAATTGATCGCCAAACGAACTTTTTTTAGTTTTTTAAGTATTTTATTATCCTAGGTATATTACCGAATTTTATGTTTATTATTTTAGAATATTTAAGTATTCTTATTGTTTTATTTTTAAATAACGTACAGTTAAATGCTAATTTTAATTAAAAAAAAATAATAAATAGATTATGTATATAGTGGATAATAATAATAACAATTTAACCACGGCCATGTTGATATCACCTTAACACTAATACAAGTTAATTTGACAATTATATAATAATAAAATTAGGTGACTTCACGGTATTGATAATTTAACAATGAGAAGACGTTGGCTTTTGACGAAAAATTTGAGATTATGCCGCCGTGATTAGAAACGACAGAAATAAACTAATAATGCCTATGTGGGTATATAATATCAATAATAAATACTTTATAACAATATAATGATACAAACTCAATAATGGAAATTTAAAATTAAATCAAATAAAAATTATTCATTATATTGTTAATAGTTAATAATTACACATAAATAAAATAAAATAATAAATAATAATGTCAATTAATTAAATTTCAAAATATAATAATTTAATTTAAAGTTTAAGTTGAAAATTATGAGCTATTCCTTTTAAAAAGCCTAATTTGTTCCTATTATTATAGTTGTCACATATTTTTTTAATTCTTTCGGCGTGATCTTTATACTTCCGTTTAACACCCATAGTATTTCCTGTGATAAGTTGTTCTACCTGTAACCGTACAAGGCTCTCCTCCTTCTTAAATAAACCTATACATTTCCATATAGTTGGATGACAGGCATTCAGACTAGATGCAATACCATTATGCCACCCTTCAACAGAATTGTTGGTCCGGGGAATATTTTCGAAAATATATTTAAAACAATTCCACAATGACACTGGAAATAATGCTGGTTTCCTTCGTTTTCTTCGATCAAGACGTCCAATCCATGTATCTTCAAAATAATTTGGCAGAGGTGTTAAAATTTCTTCGTTTAGTAATTCTGAGTCCAGTAATTCGTTCCAAGCATTTTCTACATCCTCTTCTGGTACAAAACTAAGTGCTGCCATCATTCGAACTTGTAAAGCAAATTCTGAGTCTTCGATATACCTTCTTTGGAATACTAAGTTTTGCAAGCGTCTCCAAACGCTTTGCGATAAATGAAAAAAGCACCCACGAACTGATGTGTTAGTAAAAACACTTTGAATCGCATTAATCGCAGCTTTTTCGAAATCAACCATGATTGATTTTGGATTTAATGATTCGTTCAGTGTTTTTAATGATTTGTAGAAAACAATATATGTGTTTTCCGTTTTATTTGGCAGCAATGCAAATATTGATGGGAAAATATTATTATATTGAATTCCGTGCACGGTGTAAATTTGATAAAATAAATTTGGCGATGTGGAAAAAGTGCCATCAGCATACCAGTGATCACATTTTTCCATGAGTTGTAAATTTTTTTGAGTGGAGAAAATTAAAATTCATATTTCTCCAGGACCATTGTCAAACAATAAAAAAGATTTTCCGTCAAATGAAGTTGTATAATTTTCCGGTAGGATCAAATTTGTTAACGTTTTTGGATTTGGTGGAGCAGCTTGTTATTTTTGTCTAATAAGCCGTACTGTTCTCTTTATGACAGATACTGATGGCATTTTTCCTGCAGCAGCATTCGTCAACTACCCAATTGCAAAAAAAAAAAATACAGTTTTTTTTAATTTTTAATTGAATAATATAGATAATATTAATTTATTTTGTTAAGAAATTATAAAAAAAATCGCACCTGTGTATTTTTCAGAATTGGACAATATAATTATTATTATAATATTATCTAGATAATTATTTGAATAAAAAATGTATTTAAATATAATTTTCAAGCATAATGCTAATAAAAAATACAAATATATTCGAATTATTTTGTTTCTTTTGATAGTTATATTAATAATTGTTTTATTTATAGTATTTTTCAATCTATGACAGTATTTATTCGAATAATCATATTTAAAAATTTTTTTTTTTTAACATATTTAAAATATTAAGCAATGTATTTTATACTATTTTATTTTATATTATATTTATATTATTATTATTAATACGGTAGTCAGTAAATTAAATAAATATTATTAACTTACAGAGGTCGAAGCTGAACTAATTACAGCACGAGTGCTCAATTCCACATTTTGTGTAGCAATATTTTTGATCAGATTAACGGCTTTGGCTGCTTCTATATTTCCACAATCTGGTGCATGGTTATGTGAAATTACTTTAAGTATTTCATCATTGTTGGAATGAATACGGCCCTTACATTTCATTTTTTATGCTGATCACACTTCCATAAAGACTTATGTCCGGTTCCAAATTTTTCAAAAATATACAGTATGTCCCGTTTTAAATGTACCACTAAATATCTCAGCCCGATAATCTTAGATTGAAATACGGTTTGCTGCAATAGCTAAGGGGTACTGAAGTACACATTTAAGGACAAATTTCAAATTTTTAACTCTTGTAGTATGCGCATGCGCAATACAAATTTTTTTTTTTAAATTGCAACACCTATTTTTGTCACCGGATATGGATAGATTATTTTATTCTAAGTAATTTTGATCCATTGACCATAGTTCTAAACCTAAAATTGAATGAGTTACACCTTTTGGAAATTTTAAAATAATTAAATTTTTTCGATTTTACCAAAAATATTACACGCTTGAATTTGATACAAAAGTAAGTCATTTTTGAACTAAAATGAAATACTTTTAAATAATTTAATACAAAATTACCAAAAAAAAAAAATGTATAGCCAAATTAAATTTAATTAATTTAAAAATAAATTTACCAACTAAATTGACAATGACGTTGTAGTTTGCGTTATTATTGTGCGATAAAAGTTATTTAATTATTTCCAGTTTTATTATTAGTACTTTGATAATAGTAGATTATTTCTAATTGTATTCGTAGTACTTCGATAATAATTATTGTAGATATTGTTTGATTATCAAAAATGAACTAATGCACATCACTAAGTATTGTACGTTCATCGATAACACTTATAACTTTTAACATATTACTTTGAAAGATTTTTCTTTTTTTCTTCTTTAAAATGTTAAACAATAGTGAAAAAGTTGATATGATTTTAATTTATGGTGAGTGTAATAAACATTGTCGGGAGGCTGCAAGGGTTTATGCAAATCGATATCCCGAAAGATATCATCCACCGCATAATTTTTTTTTAAGATTAGTTAATAATTTACGAACTTACGGGACTTTTTCGATAAGTGATGCACAGAGACAACCACTACGCAATATGGAACAAAATTATGATCAGGAAAATGAAATAATTGCGTACATTCAATTAAATCCTCACTCATCTTTAAGACATGTTGCTAGAGAATTTGGATTTTCAAAAACAAAGGTACACAAAATATTCAAAAAATACAAGTTACATCCTTATAGGGCTGATCTAGTTCAGCATTTACGCCAAGGTGATAACGAACGTAGATTAACATTTATTGCATGGATAACAACAGAAAATTATTTACGACCCATTATTTTTAAATTAAATTTTGTGGACCGATGAATCAAAGTTTACCAATAATGGCGTTTTAAGTAAGCAGAATAACCGTTATTGGTCAAACGGAAATCCACATTGGGCAGTTGATACAAATTATCAAACAGTATGGGGCACAAATGTGTGGTGCGAATTATTAGGAGGAAATTTAATAGGTCTACATTTGTATGATGGTACTCTTAATGGAAGACGTTATTCAGATTTCTTAACTTTGCTACCGATGATGTTGGAAGATGTCCCTTTATTACTTCGTTAAAACTTATTTTTCCAACAGGATGGAGCACCCGCTCATAATGCCATTATTGTAAGACAACAGTTAAATGAAATGTTTGGAAATCGATGGATGGGAATTCACGGGCCAGTGGAATGGCCCCCACGGTCACCTGATCTAACACCATTAGATTTTTTTTTTATGGGGTCATTTAAAGACTATTGTTTATGCAGATTCACCAGAAAACTTACAGGATTTAAAAAATAAAATAACAGTAGCGTGCAGACAATTAACAAAAGAACAAATTTTGGCAGCAACCTATAGAGAAGTGAGTCGTCAAATGGAAATGTGTTTAGAAAAAAACGGAGGAAATTTTGAACATTCTATTAGATAAAAAAAATAAACATAAATCAAAACAATGTAACGCAGTATTTTTTATTTAATTTCCTACTTCACATTCTTTATTAAAATCTATGAAAAAATCACTCAATTCAAATTTAAAACAATAAATGTTTTTGGTAAAATCGAAAAAATTTAATTATTTTAAAATTTCCAAAAGGTGTAACTCATTCAATTTTAGATTTAGAACTATGATCAATGGATCAAAATTACTTAGAATAAAATAATCTATCCATATCCGGTGACAAAAATAGGTGTTGCAATTAAAAAAAAAAAATTTGTATTGCGCATGCGCATACTACAAGAGTTAAAAATTTGAAATTTGTCCTTAAATGTGTACTTCAGTACCCCTTAGCTATTGCAGCAAACCGTATTTCAATCTAAGATTATCGGGCTGAGATATTTAGTGGTACATTTAAAACGGGACACACTGTATATAATATAATGTATAATATTGCTAATATAAGTATTAGCATGACCATGACACTTGTTGGGGAGTAAACATATTCTTACAGATCATAACACAAGATAGTAGATACATATTATTATGAATCTCGTTGCATTAGGATCATAATGCATTTTCGGATGTAATTATCTACTTCTCAACAACATTATAACAAACATCGCAATAGTGCATTACGCGTGCCGAGGTCGAGTAAAATGCATTATTGAGATTACTCGTATGCAACAACACATTGCATTGGCACGTGTTGGCAATTAGGATCAGATTGCATCCTGGATATTTTTTTTACCAAAAACAAGTATCAAAACAACTTCAAGGATTTATATGGAATTCAAGGCTATGGACTACAATAACAAGAAGCTTTTTCATATATAAGGAAGTCCAGAGACCAGCAACAACAGATGTACCAGAGCCACGAAGACCTGAGCACCTTCACAACACTCAGCCACTTTTTGTATCAGTTACATGTACTTTATTTATATGTAATAAACACATTATTGTTCTTAAGAGTTGTAAATTTCATTTAAATAACATCCGAGTCTGGATCTGATATTGGCACGCAACAATAACGTAGTAAACGTTTAACGCACATAGCACGTTTTAATAGTCAACTAATCGCTGGTTTCTAAGTTTAAACACGATGATTGTGTACGATAAAAACATTTTGGGAATTTCTCAGTTATCAAAATATGTCGAGATTGCTTCATAGCACGTTAACCCGCCCACCCTTCATTTGTTGACTAGGCTCGACCGGAAATTGAAGTCTATACACGCCTATGACCTTTTTTTTATAATATTTGTATCGATTCTTTAATATTTGAATCAAGTTTTCTTTGTTTCTTATGTTTACCTCTAAAATTATCATCTAGAACAGTGATCTCAAACTCAAATTACCTACGGGCTATATATTTAAAGTCGCGGGCCAAATTTTAAGTGTCATTTTTATAATATACACGAGAAACTAAAGACAAAATGAAGGCAAAAATACATACAAAATCCATTTATTTACTTATTATTACTACAAAATTATCATTGAAAAAATATAATGAACATTAACTTAAAAAAAAAATTTAATTAAAATTTAAAAATTGCTTGAATATTTGATAATTTTTATTTTTTAGCTGCACTTGAAACTTGACATCTTTTCTTTTGTATCAAGTTGTCTATATTTGCGCAAGAATTTCTTGATGCCTATAAGATTGTAGTTTGACGTTTAAAATTTGATTCCAATTTTTTGATTTATTTAATTTCATGAGAGAAAATAATTGTTCACATACATAAGAGCTACCAAACATGGATAAAATGTTAGAAAAGTGTTTTTTTAGTTTTGGATAACTGTTTCCAAGATATTTAAAAATTTTTGAAACTCCTACAGTTTCAAATTTTGATTTTAAAATAGAATTACATTGCAAATCAATCAACTCGAGCTGTAAATCTTCCTTTACATGTTCTACATTCATAGAAAATGGCTCACTAAAATGTAGAAAATTATCTTTATACATTTGAAAATCTGCAAATCTGTTCATAAATTCATTTTTTAGTATAAAATGTGTGAAATGTATTTCTTACCATCATTACTATCAGTGGATAATTGTTTTAATGTAGGAAAGTGAACTAAGTTATTTAATGAAAGTTGAGTTTTCCATAACCGTAATTTCATCATAAATGAATTAATTGAGTCGTACATATTTGTGATAACTTTGTTTTTTTCTTGTAATTGTAGGTTGAGAATATTCAAATGTGCAGTAATATCAACAAGGAAAGCTAAATCTTTAATCCAATCATTATTAGTTAAATTTGGAACAATCTTGTTTTTAGATTTTATAAAACAGTCTATTTATTTTAATAAATCGAAAAATCTTTGTAGAACTGCTCTACAACTTAACCGTCTTACCCAGTGTCGGCCTGGCCATGGCCGCCGGGCCGCGAATGTGGCCGGGGCCCTTCTCCGTTTTTGTTTTTTAGTGTCGTCAATTTTGTTCAGCCGTTATAGGAGCAATTTTCTTTAGAGGCCCAAAAAATTGAAAATTGATTCAATAATCAGATGCTTTCCCATAGGTTAGGTTAGGCTTTGTACAAGTTAGAGGAGGTTTATTTGGATCAATTGCGCTACTGCAAGTTAAGTTAGGTTTTATCCTTATTTTGGACGAGACCACGAGGACCCCGCTTGCCAGACCCTGCAGCCTGCAGAGGCCCCGGTGCCCCGCTGTTGGATTCAGCAATCATACAAATGTTGCATAGAAAAAAATGTATTATGTATTAATTTACAATACCTACTATAGTCTATAATATCTGTATAATATATATAAATATATAATAATGATGAAGGTATGACATTTACTTTTGAAAGTAACTTAAACAATATTATTCTTATTTCTTATATAGCTTATGACTCATAAGTTATGAGTTATGGATATGTTTTCTAAGTTTAAATTTTATAATAGAAATATAATTTTAGTTTTCGTAATTTCATTTCTGTGTTATTAATAATTATTTTTTATTGTTTTGTAACTTCAAACGTTTCAATAGTTTCATAGTTTATTTTTAAACGAATGATTTCCATCGCGTCGGCTTCGTGTTAATATAATATTATTATTATAATGTTATTATTATTTATTTATAAATATTAAATATTGTTTTTCTCGCACCCATCGACCATAGTTATTTATAAAAATATTGTCGACTAATATAACTATGATAATACGTACACAGCTATGATTATTGATTTGTTATTTTATTAAGCAAACTGCTGTAGTCGTGTACTCGCGTGCTAGGTTAGGTCGGTTATTGTTAATTGTTATGCGATACCTATATTTTATGTTATACTGTTGTCTATTGTTAATTTATTTACCGTGAATGTGTGCAATTAATTTATGAACATGAAACGTATATATAAATCTGGGGCCGCAAAAAAGGCAGAAAGAAATAAAAAAGCATTATTAGCGATCCAATCTTCACCACATCAAAAAAAAATAAGTTTTCCTACACTGGAACAAGTGCAGCGTGTTAAGATTACTGCGAATAATACGAAAAGTAAGTTTTAAATATGTTGATTAAGACTTTTTTGGGTTTTATTTTGGATATTGTGTATGCAGTGAATAAGAATTTCTTGTTTTTTTAGACTAAAATTTTAAACAACACTGCCATTTGCAAATTCACAATCTTAAAGATATGAATATACCTAAAGGATGATTTAGTGCAATTGATATTTGCACAATTAAAAAAAATTATAATATAAAAAATTGAAACAAATAAAATATGTTTATTGCAATCTTGCAAAATTATTATAACAAATTTAAATATAAAAAAATTTAAAAACAAAGTTAATGTATTAGGTAGGTAATTCAGTAATTGCAGTCTTTAGTAGGTATACAGTAAATAACTTAAATATAACTTCTAAGTATATATTATGTAGATATTCTAAAGTAATTTTAAGTGTTAAGGTAAACTTAATTTTAAAAGAATTTATTATAAAGAGTTGCCAAATGGCGAAGTGGTTCAAAGAAAATGGATATCTTACTGTATAGAAACAAATTGTTTATATTGTTCTAATTGTATGGCTTATGGAAAGCCAGTTAATTTTGGAGAAAAAGAGTCAAAGTTCATAAGTGGGTATGAATCTGATATTAAATTACAAAAATGCCCTTATCGTGATATAATGAAACATGAAAATTCAATCTTCCATCAGAATTCATCATGTACTGCAGTCCGTTTTCAATTAAATAAAGATATTGAGTGTATTATAAATCGTGATGTCATGGCAAAAAGGTCTCAAGAAGTACATAATCGAAGACAAGTGCTTGAACGACTAATAGATATTGTTATTTTTATTGGTCGTCAAAGCATCCCATATCGAGGTAAACATAAAGCAGCAAATTCTTTAAAAAATATTGAAGTAAACCATGGTAATTTTTTAGAACTAGTCATGTTAATTTCCAAATATGATTGTTTCGCCCTAGTCACTCCTGCCAAGGCGGTCGGTGTCTAGGACTTGCACCTAAATGAATGGGACGAGTACACAATCTACTAATCG